TGGATTCACCATCCCTGGAGAATTTTAGGTTAAGACTGGATGTGGCACTCAGTGCCATGGTCTAGTGACCACGGTAGGGTTGGACTTGGTGATCTTGGAGGTCTCTTCCACCCCAGTCGTTTCTATGATTCTGTGCTCTTTGCTTCCTGTGAGTGTGGCAGCTCCGTGGGACACGTTAATCTGTGAGGTAGGAGCAACAGGAGATGAGTGTGCTGTAAGCTGGGCTGGATCTGCCCACACAGACCTTGCTGCTGGATCAGCACGGAGAGGCTTACCCAGATCAGTGATCGCTGGAGGTGGTGAGCACAAGGTATGAGAGGAAATGTTTGACAGTCTGTGCTCCCTGAACAAAACAAATGCCCCCAATCAGCTCCACGGAGGCTTAGTGCTGCTTTCAGAGGCTCAGCCAGTGCACAATGCTTTGTGGCATAGGTGCATTTTCAGCTTTTCAGTGGAACTTTTCAGGCTAATGAGCTCAGACAGCTATTCTGTTTGCTGTCTGTGTCATTTGGTGCCTGTTTAGGGCCTTTTATGCAAAGATCCCTTAGCACTTGGTGGGCAGAAGAGCTGGGAATGAAACTGGGAACCTGTGCTTTGCTGGGCTCACAGAGGGGATAGGAACCCCAACTTGCTCTGGGAATTCTAGAGGCTTCCTATATTTTAATTATTATAAAGCTCTGTTACATATTGACCAAAAGAGAAATCCCACTTAGGCAAGAGCTCATCTAGCTCTGTCATGGAAAATCTGCTTAATAATTACCAGTGTGGGAATCTCAGTGCCTTTCTTTTCCTTTCCTTCTCCCTTATTTTGCTGGTAAAGGTGTAATTCATTGCAAAAGTGGTATTTTTTGAGTTTGTTCAGGTTGGCCATGCCTGAGATTTGTTGTGAGCTGGTACTTGGGCATGTTTTTATACCTGTGAAATGTGAACAGGTGTGTAATATATATAGTACCTTTGGTGTCTCCACCTAAGTGCGATCAGAGGGGATCAAATGAGATCTCTCTTCCCCAACATGTTTAGCTCCTGTTGTTTAAACAGTCCAGTGTATTTATGGGAAAAAAAACAACACTGGAAAAAATTTCCATTTTTTTAAGTGGAGAGACATGGAGTTACAGTCATGGCATGTTAATTCATAGAGAAATAATTAGCCTTAGAACATGGCCAAAATTCAAAGCCGTACAAACAGTTGTGTGGGTTTTTTTCCCCCACGGAGTGTGTGTTGTGTGACTTGTGAAGGGAGGAGGATGCTGTCGTATTTCTGAGTCCTGCCACATCCCTATTCTCCTCTCAAGTAGAAATATGTCCAGATCAGGAGTTCTCAGGTGGGTGATTAATGTAACTTCCTTAGTTCTGACAAAGACCTGAGGCAAAACTCGCTCTCTGCCTTTGGGCAGTTTATTCTCAGCCACCTTCCTGTGCACCCTGTCGCAGCCCCATGGGTTGGTGTCCCTCTCGCCCGTGTTTGGAGGCAGTGAGGCTCTCTGGTCCCTCTGACTGGGGTTTGGAGGCAGTGAGGCTCTCTGGTCCCTCTGACTGGGGTTTGGAGGCAGTGAGGCTCTCTGGTCCCTCTGACTGGGGTTTGGAGGCAGTGAGGCTCTCTGGTCCCTCTGACTGGGGTTTGGAGGCAGTGAGGCTCTCTGGTCCCTCTGACTGGGGTTTGGAGGCAGTGAGGCTCTCTGGTCCCTCTGCCACTGGCCGTGGGAGTATGGAGTGTGTTTAGCCTGATGTCAGATTAGGCTTCCTTGGATGTGTTTGAGTCACTGGCAGTGAGGTCAGCGGGAGGACGTGCTGCTCCTCATGTCAGCCTGGCTGGGCTGCCCTCGCTGTGAGATGAGCAGCAGGCTCCTCAGGGTTTCTTTGTGCCTGGTCTGAAGGAGGGGGAGGTGGGTCAGAGCTGTGCCCCATAGCAGCCACCTCAGTCCCCTTGGGTGCTGTGCCCTCTGCTCCTTCACACCCTGTGTCCCTCACTGCTGGTGTTTTACTCACTCTGCAGCCCCACAGCATCTCACTTCTCCCCGTGGGTGCTCTCTGCCCCTAAATGCTGCTTGGGGAACACAGAACTTTGTTTTTCCTGCTGCCGGGCAGGCGTGGCCTTGTGCAGTGGAGGTGTTGCTGCAAGGCAAATCAGCCTTCCCCGTGTAGCTCTTAGGGTGTGAGCTTTTTGTTTGGAAGCACAGACCCCAGCAGTGGTCAGGAGTGTGGAACAACAGTCTGTGTCTGATGCTGACTGGGCAGAGCTGCCTCGTCCCAGTTAACACTGGGTGGCCTGAGTGGCCCAGTGTACATCCTGTGACTGTGCACACCCCAAATTCCTTGTTTGTGAGCACAGCCTGGGGAAACTGGCTGTGAACCACCAGGACTCCTGAGAGCGTGATGCTTCCGTGGTCATCAGTGTAATGGCACCATGGATAATTGGGACGAAGGATAAACTCTGTTCCAGCTTCACCAGATCGAGTTGGAAATAGGCTCATTATGACTAACATCCCTTCTTGTGTCACTGCTAGAGAGCCCAGAGACAAAACTGAGCTCAAAAAAGTAAGTGTAGGCACTCTGAGGTGCATTTCAGAAGTGAAAAGTCAGTCTTAAAATTTAGAACCTGTGCAAATAATGTTTAAAAAGGAGTTTAGGTCTATTTGTGTCTTTAGGCATTTCTTCCATGAAGATTTTCGCCTCAGTGGTGAAGATTTCCAAACTTTAAAATGTGAACCAGGCACAAAACCCCCTGAAGCTCCTGCCTTCAGGTGGCTTAAATTAAACTACAGGGGAGTTGTGATGACATAATTTGCATCATTATGTGACTGATAAGGGAAATAAAGTTCCATTGAAAACAGATCTTTGCCTCTGTCTCATGGCTAGTAAGTTGTCTGTATGGCCAAGTGGTTCTCAAAGAGAAGGTGGGAATTGCAGTTGGATATACTGGAACATAAAGAGCAGTAGAGTCTGGTCTGTTTTTACTCCTCAGGGCACTAAATATGTTTATGAATTAATATTTCTAAAGCCTGTTGGTTTCCAACATGTCTCTAATGAACACATCAGTACATGGAGTCTTGTACTGAGTTAATCTGCACCTAGAAGGCAAGTGAAGACATTCAAAAATCCTCAGCCTAAACTGCAGAGCAGATGAACTTTTTATCAGCTGCTCTTCTTCATGATCTTTGTCCCATCCCAGTGCACACATGGATGTCCCACAGGTACCACTACAGAAAAAGAGGAGAGAACACCAGTAAATCTGAGCATTTAGGTCATACAGCTTTCCCTGGCTAAGGAAAATCAAAAGGAAGGGGCAGGGGGAAGAGACTGAAGTGATGGCTTTGAAATTTTTAACTGCTGTGGCACGTAGGAGCTCTGGATTTCTCATGGATTTCTCTCCAGATTTCTCATGCTACTCAGTTCTTTGTTTTGGCTCCTTAGCAGGGCAGGAGAATATAACCCTGCACGTGGGGGAGGTTTATAGTAGGGCCATGGATGAGAGATTGGTTTGAGAGAGGAATGTAGAACAGGGAAGCAGTGACTGCTGTAATGGAGTGATACATGGATAATTGAAGCTTCAAGCTGCAGAGGAAACGTGGCCTATTAAAGTATTAATAGCTGAGGGGAGCAGGGCCGTGGTGTTGGGCAGCTCTGGAGGCAGGTGGAGCTGAACAGCTTTGCAGGGTGTTGTTGCTGAACGCAGCAGCACGTCCCTGTTGTCTCTGGCACATGTTTATGAGCTGTCTGGGGGCAGTGCCCGTTATCTGAGCCCAGCACCTCTGTGTCCCTCTGCGTGGGGCTGATAGCTGGGGCAGCCCCGGGGCCAGGGGGGCTGAGTGTGGCTGTCCCACAGGTTCCTGGGTGGAGCTGCAGATGAATGGAAACGGCACTGGCACCGACAGCGGCGGTGGGAAGAACGGGGGCCTGGAGCACGTCCCTTCCTCCTCCTCCATCCACAACGGGGACATGGAGAAGATCCTCCTGGACGCCCAGCACGAGTCAGGACAGAGCAGCTCGAGAGGTAGTTCCCACTGTGACAGGTAAAGGAGTGTTTGCTGCTCTGCGTGCGATGTCGTAGGTGTTACTGGGGAGGGAAAACTTCATCTGGGGTTGAAGTTTGTTGTGCCCCAGGATTTGGAGTAGTCTCTGGCTCATGATAACTGTGGGATGCTTCCACCCCCAAAAAAGAGGTATAATTCACAGTACTGGAAGTGTTCTCTAAAAGAGCAAAGGGATTTGCATCTTTTCTGGAGCAGTTGAAATTTTGGGCAGTGTTTTCTCTGCCTCAGTGGAGTCAAACTTGTGGAGAAAGGATTATAAATCCTTGAGGATTTGGCATTTGGGAGGATTTTGTAATCCCAGTGTTTGGGATCTGAAGGGTGGTGTAGTCTGCAACTCATCTGAATAGTGTGCAGAAATGCATGTGGAAATGATTCAGCTGAGATTTATTTACACTGATGATTGATTAAGTGACAAAATGACATGACAAAATCAATTTTTCTTCAGCCCTTCACCTCCAGAAGATGGACATATCACTTTTGATGTGGAAATGCACACAAGTAAAGACAGTAGTTCTCAGGTACTTCCTTTGTTAACCTTTAAAGTATGTTCACTTTTGACTATATATTTTGGAGCTGTGGCTGTTGTATGTAGAGCTGAGGGGTAGAACAAGGCCTTTGTGATGCCAAGAGTTATATTCTGTATGAATTGAGGTTTGACTTGGAGATTGATAGCCTGGGAGTGAGGGGAAAAATGAGGCTGAGCAAGGCCCGTTCCTCAGCAGTCCTGTTGCTGTCAGCTGCTTGCTCTGGGTGTCAGACCTGCTTTGGCAATGTTTATGCTTCTGCACGAGACTTGAGGGTGTTCAGTGACTGCTGCACAGTCACTCACGTGAGAGTGAGTAATCTCCATAATACAAATTGAGACTAAGGCTGAACTCCTAGTTTGATCACTTAATAGAATTTGCTGTCTTCAGCAGTATAACCCAAAAGCATTCCTGGAAGAATGAAACCTTGCATTTCATTCTGTCAAAGACCTGCCCGAGCAGTGGGACTGTGGCAGCTCTGCCCTGAGAGCCAGAGCCATGGGAGTGAAGGTGTTGGTGAGCTCTGCCATCTCACTTGGGACTGTCCTCTGTGCTTACTTCTGGGTTTGGTGTGGTTCCACTTCGTGTTGTAAGTGGTTTATCTTCTTTCACTCAGGAAATTGTTTTCGTGCTGAGGAGGAGTTTGTACCAAAGTCAGTGGAATCCTCTAGTCTAATTTATTTGTTCCTGTATGATAACATTTGAGTCTAATGATGTAATTTTAAAGCTTTGGGACAAGACAGTTAGAGTGAGTGTTTGCCTTTCCCTGCTGCATCTGGGATTCACCCAGTAGAAACTGCTAGTTGCAATTAATGTGCATTCTAAATGATTAATAACCCCCTTTTTTAAAGTAAAGGTACTGGTTTTGAAACCCTTTCTTTGTCTTTGGCCACGTTCTGTGGCCTTTAAATCAAATCTAACTTGATGTTTTTGCCATTTATTAATATTTGTGCATAGGTCTGGTTTATTACAGTTAGGATTAAAATAATCCTTTTGTTGGTTTAAAAAAGAAACAAACAGCTTACAGTGATGTGGAAATCCTGGCCACAAAAACTTGTGCTGCAGTGACTTGTGTTAGCCAACTGAAATCTCTTTTCAGTAGTCAGCAGTCTAAGAACACTTACTGGTTTATCAGGTGTCACCATTTGGTGCTTATCGTTTTCCCACTGTTGTTGTCACTTCAATTTCACACCCTGAGGAGGAGCTGAGTGTTACAGCCTTGTCCCTTGTGTGTTTTCAGTCCGAAGAGGAAGCAGTAGAAGGAGAGAAAGAATTGGAAGTCTTGAAGAAAAGTGCAGACTGGGTGTCAGACTGGTCAAGTAGGCCTGAAAACATTCCTCCCAAGTGAGTCCAACTCTGCTTTTAATCAGTGCTCTGTTACATGAAGGAGAGGAGAATCAAAAGTCACAATTTTCTGGAATGACTCTGCTTTCCAAATGAGATCACCGTAGGGACAGGTTGATTTGTCTTTGGGGAGGCTGCAAGAAGTCAGAACAACAAGTATGAAAATCTCAATAGCCACAGAGTTATTTGAAAGTAATATAAATCTACAACAAGCTGCTTACAAGGCTTTTAGCAAAACTGTGATTATTGGGAGAGCTGGGTACTTGGAGCTGGGATCCATGGGCTTTAGTCTTGGCTGGTGGAATGGAATAGTGTTGGGCAAATCTCCTAAATTCTCTGTCCCTTTTTTTCTCTCTATGTAAAATATGTAATGTTCATCCACGGAAGGGGAAAACCTTGAGATCCAAAGCATTTTTGTTAAAGCAGAGGATGCTGTCTAAATCTGGCAGACTTGTGTATCTCTGTTTGGAACAAAAAGTGAGGCTCTTGCTAACAAATCACATCCTGAAATTCCCTCTCTCGGACCTACCTCTCTCTTCAGCTCCTGCTCCCTTTGTCTCTATACTGTCTGTGTAAGTGGTCTCTCCACAATACCTCCTATTACTCTCTGTGATTCCTTGCCTCTGTGTAAGGGATCTCATGCTTTGATCTCTAGCTCTTTGTACTGTTAAAAAAAAATGTTCCTACAGAGATCTGTGCATTTGTGTACAAAGAAAAACAGCCAGGAAAGGAACAAAAAGATCTTGTTGAATTTTTCCCCCCCCTCTCCCTCTTCTTTCAGGGAATTCCATTTCAGACATCCCAAACGTTCAGTGTCTTTAAGTATGAGAAAAAGTGGAGCCATGAAAAAAGGTGGCATTTTCTCTGCAGAATTTCTTAAGGTTTTCATTCCATCTCTGTTCATATCTCATGTTTTGGCTTTGGGACTAGGGTAAGTATTAACCTAATTCTCACTTCAACTTTTGCTTTTCCACTTTGCTTGTGTGTCAGGTGCCTGTTGGAAAAGGCTTTACCCACAATGACTAGAGTGTTGTTGCACCTCACTCGAGGCAAACTTGGTGCACTGGTGGAAAACTTGGCAGCAATTAAAACTTGGCAGCAATCAATATGTTTTAGTTCTAGAACAGATCAAGTTTCTTACATTGAAAATGTGAGTTTGCAAATAACTTTTGCAGTTGTAACATGTCATTTGTTATCTGTGTCTTCTACTTAAACACTTCAGGTTGTAATGGAGGGAAAAAAGAAGTAGAATAGGTGAGAAATAACCTCACTGACCATTCCAAACCCACGTGGTCCAAACAGTGCTGCTGAAGTTGTGTGTAACACTCTGATTCCCAGCGTAAGGCTGTGCTCTGGGGTGTGCCTGGAGTCAAGGTTTGAGTCCTCAGAGAAAGATCCCTGAGGTATTTACTGGGTGTGTCCTTCGAGATCAGCTGTGCCTCTGTAATCCCACACTATGCTCTGTTTGTCTTGCCTTACCTTTTCCTGGGATGGGGCAGAGATGTGCACTCAAAATACGTTTGTCCTTAGCTCTGCACTCGTCTCTGGGAGTGTTGCTGTGTGAGGTACTCACAACACAAGAGCTTTTGGGTTGGGGTTTTCAGATGGGCCTGAGACTGGAGGAAACTCACTCTGAGTGTTGACAGCACTGGTCCTTTCAGGCCCATCTCAAAGCCTTGAGCACCCTGCTCCAGTGAGGAGGTGTCCCAGCCCAGGGCAGGGCTTGGACTGGGTGATCTGTAAGGTCCATTCCATCCCCTGAACTCTGCGGTGGTTCTGTGAAGTTTGTAGAAGTGAAGTGAACTCCTTGGAAGAATCTCCTCAGAGTTGTTTGAGAGAGTCATTAGTGTGAGGGCTGCTGGGAAACAGGGAATACTTGCATGGAATACAATCTGCCTGTACTTTGTGTTTCAGCATCTACATTGGGAAGCGCCTGACCACACCTTCAGCCAGCACCTATTGAACCCTGGAGGGCAGAACCTGGACCCAGTGACCTGTGCAGGTGTTACTGTCTCATAGAGTACATTTGACTTGAGACCATTTTAAGCATGACCCTGACTTCACCCTTTCCTTACATATCCAGGTTTTTGCTAACTCTGGAATTCAGTATTGTGTTGGAACTCTGTTGAGGTGTTTGGCTATCCACATTCTTCCCCTCTCTCCCATTTCCTGCCTCTTGGCCCGCAAGACACGTCAGAGTTGCTGAACGGAGTTTACAACTGTCTCTGTGTTGCAAGGGCTTCTCTCAATGCAAAATGCCACCAGCAAGTTTAATTTATCAGTGATGCTGTTGCCTCCTTAGTGCAGCCTGACTTCGATTGCAGTTGTGCGTGGTGTAAATGTTGACTGTATGGTGGTGTTGAAACTCACAGTCTCTGTGGAAGAGAATTGTTGGTTGGAGTGGAAAAAAAGAAAAAGAAGCTGGTTGTGAAATAAACTTTAGAAATCGCTGGCAATAAAAACCCCAGTTTAAATCAGCTTTTTGGGGGGGATTCACTTGGCCCCTGGTATTGGCGAACAGACACCACTTGGTTTGCAGGAGGCAAAGACTGCATAAATTTTACAGTAGGGTAACTAAATCCATCAGCATATTTTAATATTAGGTAATTGTTGTAACCTTGTCTTTTTCTATGGAGTCAGCTCCTTATTCCTTGTAGGAAAACCTGTCTGATACCTAGGAAACAGTAGAAAAATCACATTGTTTGCATGTGAAGAAGCTTTTTCTTTTCCTTACCTGTTTTCTTGAGGAAAATTTGAACTGTGAAATTTTCCTTTTAAAAGTAGTTTTAAATTAAGGCAAACCCCTGAAGCTGTAGGTGTAGTTAGGCTCTGTGTCCAAGGAAGTGATTCTGTTTGTTGTGGAACCATTTACAGCTGGGATGACATGGCAGAAAGGAAAGTGTTTGGCTTACCCTTAGGGGGGACAATCTCGCAGGTGCATAAAGGTTCAGAAGTTGTAAAGCTCTGAAATGTCTTCTGCAAAATGAGTTTCCAATGTTCCTCTCATTGTTTACTGTACAATCTCCTTTGGGGATACATGGAAACCCTGAAAGTCACTCGTGATGTCTCATGTTAGGTAGATTCTCACTGATGTTGTTGAACTTTTACCTTAGGGAACATTAAGCCTTGTCCTCCTTCAGTGACACTTCTCAAAATGTGAAGCTTTAGTACCAAATTGTTACAAAGCATCGGGACAGTCCTGTCCTTAAATAGATTTTATTGGATTTCAGGACATGTAGCATGACTCTGAAGGATAGAATACTCTTTTTATATATAGATGACTAGATAAAAAAGAAAAATATGATATAGACTTTAATACTAAGTATTTAGGGAACCAATGCTAATTTTAAGCCTAGCAAAAATCTCCTTTAAACAAAACCTTTAGTAGGCTGACTGGTAGGAGATGATAAAGTCCTAGTCAGCCTTTTGGAGAGAACAGCTATAAATGTTTGCTTGCATCAAACCCTAGAGCTGATTATTTGATAGAGCAGTGAGTGCTTGAACCATCGATGCATAGAAGCTAAATCCCAACCAAGATTTGGTTTAAACCAACTTAGTTAGCTCCCAGGAAGTTAAAAAGTTAAGTCTGAACCCACTGCTAAGCTCTATTTATTTTCTATTCTCTGCTTCTGAGTGCTCTCAGAGGATGCTGGTGGGGTGGAAGGGCAATCTAACAGCAAATCCTCTTCAAAAATCTGCTTTGTTTTTCCCTCTAGTTGCGAATACTTAGTGGCAGCTGAGCTGCCTACAGCTGCAGAGTTGTTCAGGTGTGGGTAGGGGTTCCACCCAGAGGTGGGGAGGGCAGGGGGGAGTGGTGGAGGGTTTTAGGTAGCATCAGTGCTTCACTTTACAGCCCCAAACCCGAGGGGATGGGAGAAAAGCTGAAACACTTCAGTTCTAACACAGCACCTTGTTTTGTATGGAAATTGGAGTAGTGGAAAAATAGATTTTTACTAAGTAGGAAGAAGCTTTTTAAAAAAAAACAAAAGGCAAGAAGTTACCCCTTTCTAAATTAAGAGGTGATTCTTCGGTAACAGTGCAAGTTTGTGGCTTAGCATCAACACCACTTGGGGTGTTTGGAGCAAGAATTGTACAAACTGGAGCTGAGGTCACTGTACACTGCAGTATTTATTGCTGCCCTGCTATAAGCTGTGGAGGAAAGTCTACACCTTCTAGTTTTACAATGAACAGAACCAGATCGTTGTATACTTTGCAAAGGGGTTTCAACTATTGAGAGTTGAAGTTTTGTTAAGATAAATGTTGTTTAAAAAGCTTTATACCTGTTTACAGTTTTGGAAAAAAACAAACAAACAAAAAACAAACTAGTAGGCTTCATTTTTCTTACCTTCAGTGAAAACTGGCCTAGACTCTTTGTAAATAGGATCAAGACAAACTGCATAAACTCGCACATGACACATGCAGCAGGTTGACCTAACTGCAGCAATTGCATCTTTACTTACTGTTTTCAAAAGTGAAAGCTGAAGATTGTTAGCAATTCCAATTTTTTTAATTGACATTTGTTGAAGATATTGGAGTTAACTGAGCCAAAGTGATTATGCATTCTTCATAAATTAGTTAGCACTTTGTAACATGATATACAGTTTACAGTACATGTATAAGTTGTAGCTTATATACATTTTGTGCCATTAAAGCTCTCACAAAACTGTTTGTCTGACATCACTTGGTGCGGCGCCTTCCTGTGTTCTCTGCTCCTTTTTACAGCATCACTGTACCAGGCTGTGAGGAAAGTTGTGCCCTGGCTCATTGTGGAAAGATTTGCTTGGGTTTGTTGGGATTCTTTAGTCCCCTGGGGTGCATAAAGACATTTCCCTGCTGCTTGGCCCTGTGCCCCTGCACAGGTCCTGGAGCACCTTGTCCTGAGCTCCCTGAGCAAATCCCATGGTGGTGTGTGGAAGGTAGAACTGCTGAGATTTTGTATCACTGGTCAACTCCATTGTACTTCATGTTTTTCTCTTCTGTTCCCTGATTCTGTCCAGTTTGCAGATTAAAGAGTAAGGGACATAAACCCTAATTGTTAATCTGCCTCCACGTTCTTCGTTCCAGAGGTTGTTTCCTGGAGTGTCATGAGAGCTGGTCACTCCAGCTGTGACCTGTCACCATTCTGGTACTGCTGCCACCCTTTTTAGCTACTTTTTCCCATGTTTTTAATGTATAAATCCAGGTTGTGAGAGAAATAAGGTAGGTAAAATTCCAAGTCCTTATTTCAGTAAGCTGAGGGACTTGGGTTGAAGTTTTAACTTGCTGCTGCCTTGAAACTGCTGTGCAGAGCAGGTTGGGGGTTGTGCAGATTGTTTCTTTGCAGCCAGCTGAGATAAACACGTTTCTTTAGCAGGATTGCAGGAATAAAACCAATCACTGTGTGCTTCAAAACCTCTCCAGTTGTAATGCAAGGAGGAGTACAAGATAACATTGCACCAGACAGCAGTGTCTTTGCACTGGGATTATTCTGGCATAAATCACATTTTGATGGAGCTGAGGACTGTCTTCCAAGTTTCTAAGTGTTCAGGTAAATGAAGAAAAGGGATTTATTTGCATGTTTTATTTAGAGCAGCACAGGGATATTGGTGATCTGTTCAGCAGGGGGATTGATGAGCTGTGTGGTGTCTTGTCAGCAGGGGATGAGCTGTGTGGTGTCTTGTTTTCCTCTGCACCAAGAGGTTTATTTCACCTCAGATTCTGGGCAGGTTCCTCCTGCCTTGCCTCAGGTCGATCCCTCGGTGCACTGTGGTTGAGTTCACTATTCCTGGGAGGATGTGGAGTCCTAGTCACACTCTGATTTCAGATTTAGAAGATCTGGTGCACCTGAAGTCCTGATTCCCTGTCAGTGCTTGTAGGATCTTGATTTGTACTGAGCTGTGTGTGAAGATTCCTTTGTGTTTTGGGTCTTGAAAACCAAACTGAACCACTTGGATTCCTGAACTGTGCCCCCAGAGTTCACTCATCCCTTCAAAACCAAACCTAAACCCTTAAAATGCTCCTGAAAAATCTCGCGCTGAATACCTAATCCCATGAAAAGGGGAAAGCTACATTAATTTCCATTTCATTAGGCCTCTCTTTGTGTCCCGCCCTGGCTGAGCTCACTGGGCACAGCTGACTCAGCCGAGCTGCTCCCAGCACAGGAGTCCTGACATTAGGGGGAGAGCGAGTGGAGCTTTTCCATTAAGGAGAGTAAACATGACTTCACGTTTTGAGCTGCTGCCAGAAAACGGAGAGTATGGAAAGAGGCATTTTCTATTTTAAACTGTTTCCTAACACTTTCCTGATAACACTGGGGAGTTTGTTTAGAGACTTTTTGTCTAGTGCTGCAGGTTGCTTCACTTGCTGTTGGTTGTCTAAAGACAAATCAAGGGATTTTTAAGGCCTGAAAAATACCTTGTTCTGGCATATGTAACAAAGGGGAAGAGGGTAGTCCTGTAGATGCTTAAGTTGTTGCAGTTCAGGTGTGTAATTCAGGTGACAAAAGGACACGTATCCCTGCAGAGCTGTCAGTGTGTGGAGTTGTGCTGGATCTCCCTCCGGATTCAGCTCTTGCAGCCTTTAGTTTGCACCTTTTGGAGTTTAAATTTCAGCCACTGGGTCCTGGGATGCCTTTCTGTGGTAGTTGAAGGAGCCTTTGGCTCTCAGGTGCATTTTCCTTTATAGATTATGTCTTCTAAGTAAGTGTTTTAATGAAAATCTTGTAAGACAAATCTCACAGCTTTTTATTTCTACCCTGTAACCTGCATCTAAACACACTCATTTATCAATAGAAAAATTCTGTGTGCAAAATCTCGAATGAAACACATTTCTGGTCCTTCTTTTCCTTAAAAAAAAAAAAGAATAAAAATTCCTCGTTTCCTTCAAAAATGCCCTATGAGCTTTTGCCCCAGCAGAACTGTTCACTGTGTGTGGCATGGCAAACACAAGCTCCAGGCTCAGCAGGCAGTGCCTGTCCTTGAGGTGCTGTGAAGAGCTTTGTGGGACCACCCTGACCCTGCAGCTGGAACAACACACCTCACTGCATCTTCTTGCTGCTTCAAATCCTCTTGTTTCTTCTTCACTGTGAAGTTCATTGATGTTCCTTCAGGTAGGTGTGTGGTCACCTGCAGAGCTCCAGAGCTTGCAGGCTCTCTGGTTGGCATAGCTGAAGTGTTCAGGAGTCACTGCTTTGCTTTCACCTCCAGGGAAGTAGGTTATGAAAGAAGTGAAATGTACAGTTTCATCAGGAGCTATAGTAATAGGACAAGGAGTAATGGGTGCAAGCTGAAAGAAAGGAAATGTAGGTTGGATATACAGAAGGAATTCACTCTTGTGAGGTGCTGAGGCTCTGGCACAGGTTGCCCAGAGCAGCTGTGGCTGTTTCATCCCTGGGAGTGTTCCAGGCCAGGCTGGATGGGCTTGGAGCAGCCTGGGCTGGTGGGAGGTGTCTGGACTTTCCTGTCTGAGAGGTCCTCCTGAAGGCCTGGAGAATGCTTTGTGG